TCCTCCTCACAACTCTTCCTCACAACAGGGTATTAATCACAGCTTTAGCACACCGACAAAAAGCACATCAGTGACACGAGAGAGAATGAAGACTGGGAGAAAGAAAGACAGGAAGGCATTGTTGGTATGGCATTCAAAGGCATTTTGATTGCAAGAGAAAGATCGAGAGAGAGGTAAAAGAAATAAACGGCCACATGTAATTGTGCATTAGTTTATGAGAGCATGAGGGGCAGAAAGAGGAAAGGTGTAATCCGGAGAGTGGGACGGGCGGATGAACTCACTCGTAACGGCGAGGTAGGTGTTGGTCTGCACCTCTCCGGCCTGGTTGCGGGCGAAGCACTGGAACATTCCGGTGTCATCAGGCAGAAGGCCGTTAACCTGGAGACTACCTCCTGCCAGCACTCTGTAGCGCGGGGTCTTCACAGGGCTTATGGGTACCGCGTCCTTGTACCACACAATATCAGGCTGTGGCACACCTGAGATGAATAGGAATGTAAAGGAGCCCAACTGAATAAAGAAAGAACTGAATAATAATATATATAAAATTATATAAATAAAACAATATGATAAATATTAAATATAATTATTTAACAATAATAATTGAAATTATTTTAAAATATTATGATAAATATATAATATATTACATTTATACATAAAAATAAATAAAGATATTATAATTTATTTATTTTTATTTTATTTATTATGTAAGAACAAATAATGTATTAATAATTAATTAATTAATACAAAATAAACATTGTATATAAACTATTTAGATTAAACTATATATCAATCAAATATACATTTTATATATTATTATAAAAATATAACACACACATATATAATAATGTATAATTTATGTATAATAATTTATTAATAATTAACAAATAAATTACAAAAATAAACACTGTATATAAAATATATAAATTCAATTAAAAACCAAATCTAACAATTATATATAATTTCTTTAATGCTATTCTATTTAATTTATTGTATACAATTAATAATCTAACACACACACACACATATATATATATATATATATATATATACAGTATATATGAATATATGATATATGAATGGTGAATATAACAATATAACATTACCACACCTAACTAGGTACGATGCAACAAAGCTTCAACTTTTCCATGAAACACACTGTTCAAAAATC